ATGGAAACTGCACCAGAATGATTCCTTTCTTATGGCTGGGGTTGTCCCCATACTATATGTCAGTCTACATGTTCTGGTTTGTCACCAGTGCTCCCACTCACTTGTTTGTAGATTTCAAGTCCTTGTGTGAACCTTTACATTGACCTTTACAGCCTTGATCCTGTTGACTTTGGCTGCCGTTCCTACTTCTGTAGTCAGACCTGATGGCCTCACAGCAACCCCAGGAAGACCCCATTCCCTGAAAGGTTGAGACCCCTTGCACAGGATGGAGTGTTAGCACCCTCCCAGCCCCTGTGCCATATAACTTCCCTCCTTCCTGTAGGAGTGGGGCTTTGTGTGACTTGTGTCTATTAACTGTGATAAACACCCCCATGTCCCCCGATTGACAGTGAAACCTAGCTGACGACTCCTAAAGCCACTGGTGTTAGGATGTCTTAGGGTTTTATTGCTGTGAAGAGACACCATGATCAAGGTAACTCTTATAAAGGACAACATTTAATTGGGGCTGGCTCATGGGTTCAGAGATTCTGTCCATTATCATCATGATGGGAAGTATGGCAATGTCCAGGCAGACATGGTGCTGGAGAAGGAGTTGATAGTTCTACATCTTGATCCAAAGGCAGCCGGGAGGAGACTGTCTTCTGCAGGCAGCCAGGAGGAGGGTACCATTTGTACTGGGCAGAGCCTGAGCATAGGAGGAGACATCAAAGCCCATTCCCACAGTGATACACTTCCTCCAATAAGGTCACACCTAATACTGCCACTCCTCATGAGCCAATCATTCAAACACATGAATCTATAGGGGCCAAACCTATTCAAACCACCACAGAAACCAAGGCTCCAAATCTATGTATTAATGGTATTTGGAGGCTTTGGAAGGAAACTGAGGTTAAAAGAAGAGTGGGACCCCTTGATGGGATTTGTGGCTTTATAATAAAAGAAGAGGACTCCCCTCCCCCCCAACACACATACACACAACTAACAGCCTAACAGGAAGCCATCAAGGAGAACTCTTATAAATTGTGATAAGGATGCTGAAATGTAGCTCTTCAATTGACAGCTTCAATTGACAGGGGTGCAGGTAGAGAAGGACTCAATTGTCTTTAAGGGGCTGGCCACTGGGAGTTTGACCATGCTCCAGTGAGTGTATGGGCACCCCATGTTTTCCTTTTTTTTTCTTTCTTATTTTGGGGGGAGGGAAGTCACAAAGGTCGGGGAGGTTGGACATGAGAGGACTGGGAAGTAAGTGTGATCAAAGTGCATGATTTGAAATTCCCAAATAACTAATAAAAATATTATGTTGGAGAAAAAAATAAAATTACTCCTAATAAAAAATGGACAAGAGGAGGAAGAGGAGGGAGGGGACTCAACCTTACTGTTACTGTCTCAGCCCACAATGCTCTGTACCTTGTTCTAATAAGGCAACGTCACCTTCACAGAGGCCTGTGTTATGTTCTTGAGTCTGTGAGCTAAATAAACCCTTGTTCTTTATAAATTACCAAGTATCAGGTATTTTGTTATAGCAAGAAAAATAGTACTAAGAAACTCATAATGAGTGACAATGTTGCACATGATGTTTGCTTTACCAGAAGGTCCCAAATGGGGGTGATGACCCATAATTCAGGGTGCAGGCAGCAAGGTGACTGGAAAACCACACTTTGTGGGACTGGGACCTGGAGGTACTTGGTATGCAACATTACTGACTTATCCTGACCAAAACACCAGAAGAATCAGCACCTGCTGCACTGGGATGCTACAGGGGCCACCCAGACACCAGGCAGAGTCAGTCCTTGTTACACACTTTTACTGTCCTTCAGGAGAAAGGGGGCCTTGCTGTGAGCTTGTTTTGATTATGCCCTGCTCAGTATGACTAAGGCTCAGCCTAGGCATGGTGATGTTGGCCCAGGTGATGGACCATGAAATCCACCAGTCAGAAGGTTCTTCTACATATAACAGAAGGGCCAATTTCCAAATACTCATGGTTTGTGATCCACATGTCCTTGAACATAGGGAGAGAACACAAGATGGAGGCACCTACCCAGGCACCGTACTTGGCATATGGAGGGGCAACCACCTGGAGGGAGGAAAAGACCCACATCAAGACATCACTCTGGGCTAATCAGAAAGCTACTCAGGAAATACACCTGCCCAAGTTTGACAATTTTAGTTCATCCGTAAGACCCACATGGTAGAAAATTAACTTTTTAAATTAAGAGTTGTGGGAGCCTTGGTGGTGCATGCCTGTGATTCTAATATTCAGGCAGAGGCAGGAGGATCTAGAACAGGCTGATCAAACACAGCAAGTTCCAGGACAGCCAGGGCTACATAGTGAGATCTGTTTCTGAAGAAGAGTAGGGTGATAGGCTGAGGTGTGAGGACCTGAGTTTAGATCTTTAGAACTCATGTATAAATCTGGACATGCCATCCATGTCCACATGCATACACACATGTTCATGTAAAATACAAAAGGAACCTACATGCTCGTCTTGAGCCCCATAGCTCATCATCCCCGATGCTACCTTCTGATCAGATGTTCAGTACCCCAGCTCTGCCCACCCTGTAGGCTGCAGCCCCTTCCCATCTGCCACTCCTCCCTCACCAGATTAGCTTGCTGTCCTTTCTCTCTCTCCACCACCACCCCTCTCTCTCTGATGTAAATGCCAGGGACTTCTGTCACTTTTGCTTATTGGTGCAATTCCTAGACCTTAGCCACTCTAGAACTACTCATGGGTCAACCCTTGAAGGCTACCAGTGAGGTTTGGGCCAATACCTTCACACAGAGGTCTGGAGAGACCACCCTTGCTATCTCTTTCTGCAGCCGGAATCGTAGGCCTGAACAGGTACCAGTGCCACCAGACAGTATGATATAACTGAATAGATTCCTCCAGTGGGATCTCTCACAGGACAGGATGCATTCCTGGGCGAGCATGTGGATCCCTGGTTTGGTTCTCTCTGGGGGAAATGCACAAGAGGGCTTTGGGATCAGAGGCTCCCCATTTTTAGTATTTCAGGGAGGAATACCTTCCAGATTCTGGATAGACCCAAGTGCCACCAGGTATCTTGAGGCCCTGTGGACTTCAAGTGGGTCACAAGCTTGGCCTACTAGCACCATCACTGATAAGAGCTGACCTCTGGTGGCTCAAACAAGGTTGGTGTCACCTGTTTTGTGAGTGTTTGTAGGGCAGTGTCCTGACTCAGCCTTGGAAAGTGCCACTGAGTAACTGCTTTCACTTGTCACATATTCCATAAGCAAGCAACAGACCTCAGCTTTGAATGATGGGTGAATCGTGTGTCTATAGCTCATGTTTCTGGGGCAGTGCATGGCAATCAGCACCCCTCACTCCTTGTACAGGGTGACCCTGGGCTAAGGGCTGAAGAACTAATACAATGGAGTGCCTCAGGTGTGCCTGGCAGAGGACTCTGCTGACATCAGAAGCCTGAGGCTTCATTCCTCCCTGGGATCCACCTGGCCTCTGAGGAGTACTTTAATGACTTTTCCACATTGATATGCATTATGCCTTTTAAAACCGTGTGGTCTACCATGCTTACAATCCCACATCTTGAGAAACTGAGGCAGGCAGGTTGCCACAAGTTTAAGATAAGCCTAGGCTATATATAATGAGTTTCAGACTAGCCTGGGCTACAGAGCAAGAACCTATCTCAAAAACCAAAAGCACAGAAAGACTTCACACTTTGTACTATATAGCATAGAACAGAAAGCTAAGCCCCACTAGCCACAGACTATGTCCACATATGGCCCAAATGACTTGACTTAGATCGTAGGAAATGTTGGCTTCCCATGACTTTCCCTTTCCATGGGGATTTCACAGTCCATCATTTTCTTTTTGTTGAAACAATGGCTCACTGTGTAGCCCAGGCTGACTATGAACTCATGGTCATCCTCCTGCTTCTTCTGCATTCCAATGTGCACCACTGTCTGGCTGATCTATCACTCATTGTTCTAAAGACAAGGTGACTCTGAAAGCTAATATGTTTGCATGAAGGATCTAGAATTACCATGGAGATAAGCCTCTAGACATGCCTGAGTTTCTAGACTGGGTTAACCAAGAAGGGAAGACCCACCCTGAATGTGAGCAACACCATGAACTGGATCCTGGACACAGTATAAAGAGAAAAGAGAGCTGAGCACCAGCGCCCTTTCCACTTCCCACCTGCAGACACAGCATGGCCAGCCACCTCGCATTCCTGATAGACAATAACCTTGAACTATCAGTCACACTTCTTTCCTTATGCTGTTTTTGCCAGGCATTTTTTTCCCACAGCATTGAGAAGACTAATTAGCACAGTAGTCAAGCCAACAGTCATTAAAAAACCCTCTGGAGCAGGGCAGTGGTGGCGCACACCTTTAATCCCAGCACACAGGAGGCAGAGGCCTGTGGATTTCTGAATTTGAGGCCAGCCTAGTCTAAAGAGTGAGTTTCAGGATGCCAGGGCTACACAAAGAAACCCTGTCTCAAAAACCACAAAATAATCGTAGTAGAAGTAGTAGTAGAAATAGTGGTAGTAGTTAGTAGTAGTAGTGGTAGTAGTTAGTAGTAGTAGTGGTAGTAGTTAGTAGTAGTAGTAGTGGTAGTAGTTAGTAGTAGTAGTAGTACAAAGACCCACTGGCCATTCAGATGCTTAAAGCTCTCATAAATACCTGTGTCTTGTGTTTCTGTCTTAACTGGCCTCACTGTTCCATTATAAAATATCCTGTACAATGGCAGAGTTATAAATAGCACACTATGGAAGAGAGTGCTGTAGTTGCCCTCCAGCCCATCTGCGAATAGACTAAGACTTCCGGGGAGGAGTCAAGGGGTCAGCAAAGTAGCAGGAGTGTAGGAGGTGGCTCAGTGAGTGGGAACTAATACCAGGGAAATTTTAGAGCAGGAGAATCCTGAAGCAGAACGCCCCACCACTACCACACTACCACACCTTCCTTCTGACAGTGTTCTGTGCCAAGTGCCCATTAGACCACTGCCCCCTGATTCTGGACTCACCCAGGAGGCTGGTGTTGAAGAGCGCCTCTGAGCACATGAAAGCCTCCTGCCCTAGGTTGATTTCCTTGCCATCTGGCAACGTGAATTTCTTCTGGAAGGAGGGTGCTGAAGTTTTTTTCATCTCCATGTCATAGTCCAGTGCTACATAGCAGCATTTGTCTTTCAGGTCTCGGATGTGCTCCAGGTCAGCTGCAGGGCAAGGAAGAGAAAGAAGCAAGGGCACGTAGGGTGCTGCTCGTGGGAGTGGGCATAGGGAGATGGCCCACTCTTAGGCGGCCATTGTGTCCATGTAACCCCTTCAGCAGCGTCTTGGCCAGGCTATGGGCCAGGCTTTAGAAGAACAGGGAGCATGGGGAAGTAGAACCTTCTGCACAAGAGGCACAGAGCTGGATCTCTTCAGCATACCCTAAGATGTAACCCTGCTGTGTACGGTGTTTGTAGGGCCAAGAAAATCCAGTTCACATTCATTAGCTCGGCATTCTGGACATGCCTATGGGTTCTCAGGAGGACTAACCACAACTGGTGAGGACCCTTGTTTAGAAAACTCTGGCAAGTGATGCCCCTCTCCTCCTAGGTTTCTGACAACAGATTTGAAAGCCAGATGCAGCTTTTGATAGGGCTCTCACATAGTATCTGTTGTTGTCATGGAGCCTTGAATAAAAGGGACTTCCCTGTGGGGCTCACCTGCTGGCCCCACCTGCCCTACAGACTGCCAGCTGCCACTTCCACTTGAAAACCACTGTCCTCCACCTCTTCCTCCTCTACTTCATCCTCCACCTTGTCTCCTTCTTCAGCTCTCCTTCCTCCTCCAACTCCTCCCCCATCGTCTTCTCCAACTCCTCCTCTAAGTCTTCCAACTTTCCTTCCTCATTTCCTTCCTCCTATTTCTTCTCCTCCCTCTTTTCCTTCCCCTTCTTCTTGCTCTTCCTCCCCTTCCCCATTCTCCCCTCTTCCTTTGACGCCAGTCGGCTACTCCTCCTCTCTTCCTCTTCCTCTGAAACAGGGTCTCACAGCATCCAACTCACTTGTAGCTGAAGATGTCCTTGACTGCTAATCCTCCTGCCTCCACCTTCAAATACCATGATTAGATGTATGTGCTGCTACTCCTGGCCTAACCCAACCTCCTTGCCAATGTCTCATCCATCCTCTTTCCAAAGCCTGGAAGTTCCTCTGTTCCTTCCTCTTGGTATTGTCTGCTTCTCCCTTCTCTGTCTTCCCTTTCCTGGCTTCAGGGACTCTGCTGTATCCTAATGTTTACTCTTTCACCTGGTTTGGGTTTTGGTGAAACAAGTCTAGGTCATATCCCACCTCTGCTGTTTACTTAAGTTTGGGCAAATTATTCTTCATTTTGCCTTATTTTGCATTCTCTTTCTCTGTCATCTTTTTCTGTCTCTCTGTCTCTCTCTCTCTGTCTATCTCTGTCTGTCTCTTTCTGTCTCTCTCTCTCTCTCTCTCTCTCTCTCTCTCTCTCTCTCTCTCTCTC